CTCACTGCAACCTCTGCCTCCCGGGTTCAAGCAATTCACCTGCCTCAGCCTCCCAAGTAGCTGGGACTTACAGGTGTGTGCCACCACGCCCAGCTAATTTTTGTATTTTTTGTATTTTTAGTAGAGACAGGGTTTCACCATGTTGGTCAGGATGGTTTCAATCTCTTGACCTCATGATCTGCCTGCCTCGGCCTCCCAAAGTGCTGGGATTACAGGCTGAGCCACTGCGCCCGGCCTGTAACTGATATTTTTTAATGAAAATAAGTGCCACGTTTTGAAATTTGCTTTTTTTGCTTCATTCGTTGTGAACATATTTCCACATCAGTGTATATAACTGTTTCATTCTAAAAGGGAATGACTAAGGAATATTATATGAATGAAACATAATTAAGTATGCTCTGTTAATGAACGTTTCTATTTGTAATTTTCCCCAACTACCAACGTATCGTAGCATACCTGAACAAGTATTTTCATAAGGTAAATCACAACTTGTGAAATTGATGGGGCAAAGGATACTCAGGTTTAAAATTTTAGTAGATATTTCAAAATAGTTGCTTCTTTCCCGTAATGAAACAGTGTGTCTGTTTCCCCCTTAGCCTTGTCAATATTGGATATTAGTCTTTTTTATTTTGCTGTTGTAAACATATTTTATTACTGAGGATGAACATTTGTTTTTAATATGACTTTGTTTTTTAAGTGACCTATTCTTACCCATTGTTCATTTTCCTGTTGATTTCTTTTCTTTCATTATATAACTCACAGGAAATCATGAAGATGGGGATATGGTTATTATTTACCATTCTATCCCCATACCAGCATGGTAGATACTGAAAATTGACTGAATTAATGATTAGCTTCCATGCATGTTGGTGTCTTCACCATATAGAAAGAAATTTTACATTTTAATGACTTCAAACCTGACAACTCTTGTCATGTTTGGATTCTAGGATTTGAGTTATGCTGAGGAATATTCTGTTTAATTTCTTTCCTGGTTTTTTGGTATTTAGAAATTTATTCCAGAATTGTGTGTATGGTAAGGATTTGAGTTCGCCTTGTTTTCTTGCCTCTACCTCATATGATTATTCTTTTACTTGACTTTTTTTCCTTTTCTTTATTCACAGACTTTGTGGTTTTCTTTCTGGCTACCTTCTCCCTTCTTGAAATGGCAGATAGAATTATGGTCACCCTCTATGGGAAAATGAGCTATACAAATTGGCAGACTTTTAAAATGAACCTCTGTAAGTCCTTGGAAGTTGTCTGTCTCCATTCAGAAGCTCTGTTTGCTTCTTTAGGCATGCACTTGCCCTTTCTTGAGGGAAGAGGGCAGAGACACAGAATACATGGTAGGGAACTAGGCGCAGTGGCTTATGCCTGTAGTTCCAGCTACAGGCACTTGGAAGCTGAGGCAGGAGGATCACGTGAGCCTAGAAGTTAAAGGCTACAAAGAGCTATGAGCATGCACACCACTGCACTCCAATCTGGGTGACAGAGTGAGACCGTGCCTCAAAAAAACAAAGTGCCTTATTCATATTGAATATCAACTGTGTGTTTTCAGTTTTATGAATGGAAAATTAAGTAAATACAATTCTGTTCTACAATAGCTTGTGGTATGTTGTCTGTTCTGTTTATACCAAAGTAAGGGTAATACCTTCTTGAATTAAGATAGATTTTATTATACAGTTTTACTGAAGCAGAGTTGGCACTCAAAATTGGCATTTATAAAGTGAATAATGTATATATTTTGACCGTGTACACCTGCGAAACCGTCACCACTATCAAGAATGATCATATTCATCATTCCTGAAAGTTTGTGATCTTCCTTCCCCACCTATTTCTGTTTATTCCTTCCTCTACGTCTAAGCAACCACTGTTCTTTCTATAACTGTAGATTAGTTTGAGTAAATGATTTTATACAGTATGTATGCTTTTTTCATGCAAATGGATACTTTTTTTTTTTTTTTTGGTGATTTTTGGTCTGCTCTTATCCTCTATACTTATTTTGTAGTTCATCCATATTGTTTTGTTGGTTTTTAGTAGTTAATTCTTTTTTATTACTGAGTAGTAGTAGTACATTGTGTGGCTACGCCAGCATTTGTTTATTTCCTGTTGAACACATTTGGGCTCTTTTTAGTATCTGACTATTACAAATAAAGCTGCTGTGAGCATTCCTCTTTGTGGGGGCATAACTTTTATTTCCTAAAAATGGAACTGATCATATGGTAAATGTATGTTTAACTTTTTAAAAAACTGAAACTGGTTTGCAAAGAGGTCTCGTTTTATATTCCTACTAGATGTCTTTGATCCATGCCCTCACCAACACAAGTCTTAAATTTAGCCATTCTTCTGGGTGTGTAGTGCTATCTTAGAGTGGTTTAACTTTGCATTTCCCTAATGACTGCCAATTTTGAGCATTTTTTCATGTGATTATTTGCCATCTGTTTATATCGTCTTTGGTGAAGTATCTGTTCAGATCTTTTACTCGTTTTGAAAATTATGTTCTCTCTCTCTCTCTCTCTCTCTCTCTCTCTCTCTCTCTCTCTCTCTCAGACAGAGTCTCGCTTGGCTAATTTGTGTATTTTTAGTAGAGGTGGGGTTTCACCATATTGACCAGGCTGGTCTTGAACCCCCGACCTTCAGTGATCAGCCAGTCCCAGCCATCCAAAGTCCTGGGATTACTGGCATGAGCTACTGCACCTGGCCCCTCACTCTTTCTCTTTCTCTCCCTTTTTCTTTCTTTCTTCCTTTCTTGCTCTCTTTGTTTTTCTTTTTTTTTTTTTTGAGACAGACTCTCATTCTGTCGCCCAGGGTGGAGTGCAGTGGTGCCATCTCAGCTCGCTGCAACCTCCGCCTTCTGGGTTCAGGCGATTCTCTTGCCTCAGCCTCTTTAGAAGCTGGGATTACAGGCGCCTGGCACCACACCTGGCTAATTTTTGTATTTTTAGTAGAGATGGGATTTCACCATGTTGGCCAGGCTGGTCTTGAACTCCTGACTTCAAGTGAGCCACCCACCTTGGCCCCCCAAAGTGCCAAGACTGTAGGTGTGAGCCACTATGACCTGCCATCATTGAGCTTTTTTGTATCTGTGAGTATAGAGTTTTCATCAAACATAGACATTTTCTACTGGTTGTGTGTCTGTGTGTGTGTGTGTAACAACTTGAGATACAATTCACACACTGTGAAGTTCACCCATTTAAAGTACAAATTTAGTGGATTTTATCTGTACACAGAGTTGTGCCACATTTACCACTAGCAGAACATACTCATCATCCCAAAAAGGAAGCCTGTATTCATTAGCAGTCCTTCCTCTGACATTTAGGAACAAAATCTAGCCCCAGTTCTGTGTGAACTTGGGGATTGCTGCCTCAAAAATCCTTTTGGGTGTTTTCTCCGCTCTGGCTCAGGCAGTTTCTCACATGCATGTACCGATCAATGCTCTGTTGACAGCTTGAGCCGGGCAGCAGGGGCCTCTTCAGATCTCCAGTCTTTTCTCTGTTTTCTTCTCTTCTCTGATATTTTGCCTCTTGATTTCTAGTCACCTTGGCTTCTCTGGACTTTCCATCTCCAGAACTCAGGGAAGATCACTGTACCCTACCTGGGATTCCCCTCCTTGGGCTTCCTCTTGTAAATGCTGTCCAAGCAGTAAGCTGAGACAGTTAGAGGGTCTACCTTGTTTGTTTCTCACCTTTCAGGAATTACTTTCCTGCATTGGTTGGTGTCTCATCTTAGAAATTTGCTGACTCATGTATATTATATGATACGATACTTGTTTCAGGTGGCATGGTAAATTTAGTTCCTGTTACCACTGTTTTGGTGAGAAGTCTCAAGGTTGCATTTTCAGCCAGTAGAAAATCAGTTCTGAAAGACTGGTATGTTTTCATTACATTTGTTTCATTCTGTCTCAGATTAGATCCTGAACCATTAAGGAGATTATGGGGAAAGTTCTTAGATTATAGAAACCATTGAGAATTTATCAAGAAGAGCCAAAGTGTAGATTTACTATGCATTGAAAGATTTTATCCTGTTCTTAGTCACTGAATCTTATGCCTACTACTATTTGATTATAATGGTATGACTTAATATCTGAAGTGTTTTTACTTGTTAACATGTAATACATATAGTAAATTGTTTTACTTGTTAGCATGTAACACAAAACATGTAATACAAATTCTGCTTAGTTGTGTGGTTCTTGATTCAGTTATCACTTGGGTACTCTGGTCTTTTTTTTTTTTGAGACAGAGTCTTGCACTGTTGCCTGGGCTGGAGTGCAGTGGCACAATCTCAGCTCACTGTAACCTCCGCCTCCTGGGTTCAAGCGATTCTCTTGTCGCAGCCTCCCGAGTAGCTGGGATTACAGGCATGCACCACCACCTCTGACTAATTTTTTATATTTTTAGTAGAGACAGGATTGCACTATGTTGGCCAGACCAGTCTCGAACTCCTGACCTCGTGATTCGCCCGTCTTGGCCTCCCAAAGTGTTGGGATTACAGGCGTGAGCCACCGTGCCCAGCCTCGGTACCCTGGTCTTAAAACTCAGCTAAACTAATCCTTGTGTTCCTTTTTGTTTTTAAGCAAAATTCTTGTTTTCTGGAGATATGAACAGCCTCTGAGATATTAGAATTTGTGTTATTTTGTATAAGTCCAAACCAACCGTGATGTTCAGATGTTGGATTTATCATTGCTATAAATTAATCATATTTCCCTCTCATATCTCCGATCATTTTAAAGGATAAATTCTTCTTGTGCTCCTAAAAATAAAGATGCAATCTAAGCAGTATTGGTACATTAACTTTTTATTTTAACCTGCTAAGTGAAGAGCTTATAACATAATCATAGCATAGCAATGAATTGCCATAGAATAGGTAAGATTTCCTGTTAACCCCTTCTCACAAGCTTTTGGAAAATAATTTAAGTTACTCATAAAAACAGCTAAACCTTATTTGATCTACAGAACAAATTGTAGAGAAACTATATAACTGCTCCTGTCTTTTTTCTCTTACAGGAAAAGTAAGAAGCTTAAGTGCATCTTTGTGGTCACTAACTCATCTGACAGCTTTGCATTTGAGTGACAATTCCCTGTCCCGAATTCCTTCAGACATTGCCAAGCTTCACAATCTGGCGTATTTGGACCTGTCATCTAATAAAATCCGTAGCTTACCCGCAGAACTCGGAAACATGGTATCACTCAGGTATGCAGATTCAACTTAATACGTACTAACTGTATAACCCCTAAAACAAAATACAGCATTTGTTGTGTCAGGAAACAAAACTGTTCATTTAATGATATTTGAATAAAGGGGAATATAACTATATCCTTTATAACTTTATAGTTGTGTTTTTGGGAACACTGAATTGTCAGCTAATAATAAATTAAGGTAGATCATTGCCTGAAATTTTAAATTACTATGTTTTGTGTAATATACTTTATTCTCAAATGAAAAAGTTTGGACAGAGAAGGGCTAAGGCACTTGTTTTACCCCACATACTTACCCATGACAAATAGTTAGGGCACCGTACCATCCTTAACACAGGGTCCAGGAAACCATTGCCAATTGGTGAAACCCTTTTTGCCTTCCCAGGGCTTGTATGTTTGATAGTAGTAAAGCCTGGACTTGAAAGAGCTAGAATTAATTATTAAATTTGGGGGGGCTGTAGCATGAAATACGTAGCATTTGGAGTCACATGTGAGTTCAGGTTGGAATCTTAACTTTGCCATTTACAAGTTGTGTGACCTTAGACAACCTTCTTAACCCAGGATTAGGGATATTTGAGATAATGGGTAAAAAACACTATCACTATGCCTTTTGTATTACTGTATTTTAAGGAATGGTAATTACTGACTCCACATGGTGGTTCACATCTGTAATCCTAGCACTTTGAGAGGCTGAGGTGGACTGATTACTTGAGCCCAGGTGTTGGGCTTTGTGGCGTGCACCTGTAATCCCTGCTACTTGGAAAGCTGAGGCAGAGTGATGCCTTGAGCCCAGGAGGTCAACGTTGCAGTGAGCGGAGATCATGCCACGGCATGTCTCCACACTCCTCCTGACCACCCCCAATAAGAAAAAAAAAGAAATGGTAATTGCTATTTATAAAAAATTTGTGCTATTTTTATTTTGTTGGAGATGGAGGTCTCGCTGTGTTGCCCAGGCAGCTCTTAAACTCCTAGTGTCTACCTTGGCCTCCCAGAGAATTGGGATTTCAGACATGAGCCACTGTGGCTGGCCCATTGTTGTTGTTGTTGTTGTTATTGTTATTATTATTATTATACTTCTGTTTTATAAGGTAGATAAGATCTAATCAAGTTAAATATAAAGCTAAATTCCATGTATTATGTTAATCCAATGGAATATTTTGTGCTATTTCATATTAACTGACTTTTCACCATGGTTCCTCTGGTTTTTTTTGCTGCCTTCTGCCATTAGCCATGTAGTAAAAAGGAATAAGGACTTTGTGAAAGGTCTACCTCTGTTGCTCCTACTCCAGCCCTTTGAGGTTTTTCTAGGCTTAATTATTGAGTTTATTCTATGACTGTTTTTAGTCCTGTGAAACAAATTTACTTGAAGGATCTCCTTTTCTTTCTTTCTTTTTTTTTTGGAAATGGAGTGTTGCTCTTGTCACCCAGGCTGGAGTGCATGGAGTGCAGTGGTGCGATCTGGGCTCACTGCAGCCTCTGCCTCGGGTTCAAGCGATTCTCGCCTCCCGAGTAACTGGGATTACAGTCACTTGCCACTACTCCTGGCTGATTTTTGTATTTTTTAGTAGAGACTGGATTTCACCATGTTGGCCAGGCTGGTCTCAAACTCCTGACCTCAAGTGATCCATCTTCTCGGCCTACCAAAGTGCTGGGATTATAGGCATGAGCCACTGTGCCCAGCCGAGGGACCTCCTTTTTTCTGTGTATTACATTTGGAAATAAACAGGAGTCAGATATTCAGAACTAGCTCTTCTTGTTCAGTTTACAGCCATACAGACCCCTGGCTTGCTCAGTAACCAAGATTCATTTAAATGTCAAAACCCAAAGATTATAGAAATAGGTTTCCTGCACAATTGACAAAACTTAAATGTGTTACATTGGTAGTGTATCAGTATTTGGTCTCTGGTTGTTCTTTCCTTGCATGTCTCCTCCACTTGGAAGATTGCTTTGACATTTATGGTTATCTCTGCAAAACAAATTATTAAGAATAATCATGAATAGTTAATACAGCTGCTATTTTTTAAATGCAACTTTAGTTAATAGTAATCATAAGCTTAATTGTGCAGCTGCTATAAACTCTTTTGAGTTATTAACTAAATGGTCATTTTATTTCTCTTGTAAGAATTCACATGGTAGGCTGCTTTATCATTTCTGCTTTCTTAAGTGTGTAGTAGACCCAACATGTGATCGACCAGTGATACTCAGTGTGATCTGTGACCTGGTGCCAGTTTGCAAACTGTCTGCCAGTCTGCGGTGAGAGTAATACAGCAATTGAATAATTTTGTATGTCTGTTGAATCTAATACTTTTTAAAAATTGGAGTTTATATTTTATCCTTTTCTCTTATTTTTCTAGTAATTTGTTTCTTGTATTCTCTGGCAGTTTTTTTTTTTTTTTAACCACATGTAGTTTAAGAAACACTATACTAGACATTGGAATATAGTGTAACATTTTTTCATTCTTAGGTGCTTACATTCCTAGAAACTGTGTTGTTGATTTTAACTGCTAAAGACTAACATGTTTTTCTCTCTTACTGGAATTTTTGCATCAACAGGGAGCTCCATTTAAATAACAACCTGTTACGAGTTCTACCTTTTGAGCTGGGAAAACTGTTTCAGTTGCAGACTTTAGGCCTGAAAGGTATGACTTCTGTATTTGTTCTTATGGTTTGTATATATGTCTTTGACTCTAAAGAAGCCAATAATCTTTCTACTAGGGGATTTTTTGAAAGACTTATTTTTCCCCAGACTTCGTCAGTTTCTTAGGTGTATCTCAATGGTTTTATCTCTTCTCTGTTCAGCTATAGACTATCTACTGGTCTTTGTTTTTTTTTTTTTTTTTGTTTCGTTTTGTTTTGTTTTTTTAAATCAGCGTGTTAATCGTGTTAAGTGGCTCCTCACCAGCCTTGGGTAGATGTGTCTAGCCTACTTCAAAAAAGTCCCTGGATGAAGTTTTCAAGAATTGCACTCATAGGCCAGGCACGGTGGTTCACACCTGTAATCGCAACACTTTGGGAGGCTGAGGTAGGTGGATATCTTGAGGCCAGGCGTTCAAGACCAGCATGAGCAACATGGCAAAACCCCATCTCTACCAAAAGTAGAAAAGTCAGCTGGGCATGGTGGTTGCCACCTGTAATACAACCTACTTGGGAGGCTGAGGCACAAGAATTGCTTGAACCCAGGAAGCAGAGGTTGCAGTGAGCTGACATTGTGCCACTGCACTCCACCCTGAGTGACGGAGTGAGACCCTGTCTTTTTTTTTTTTTTTTTAAAGAGGAATCGTATTCTTAGTTTCTTAAAAATACAGTTATATAAAAGGTTTTATTTCTGTAAATATTTCATATATCATAAAATAACAGTATTTTTTTAAAGAATAAAAAATACAAATATATGTTTTTAAATGTATGGAAAATCATATTTAACAAACGTCAGTTTTGTAAATGGTTCTTTGGAATGTTTTTTTCTGTGTGGGCTGAACTAGCTAAGGCTTCTACAAATAAGGGCCAGTGAAATGCAAGATGAAGATACCCTTTTCTGTTATATTTCCCAGTCTAGCTGTTTCTAAATTTGAAGAACAGAAAAGCACTGTGTGGCAAATTGTCCATAAAATGACTGCCAGAATTAACAGTGAATTTATCATTTTTGTGTATAATTTTTTTGTATGCAAAAGAAATAGAACATTATGGAATGCTGAGACCCTCTTTGTTCTTGCAGTCCTCCTCATGGCAGAGGTGGTTACTGTTGTATGTTTTTCCAATTCAAGGTTTTTATAATCTTACTATTTATAAACTATAATTCATACTCACTAAGGCTTTTCACATTGGTTGAAGTTTTAGGTTCATCAGTCACAAATTTGCTTTTTTTTTTTTTCCTTTTTTCTTTCTTTTCTTTGAGAGGAAGTCTGTGTCGCCCAGGCTGGAGTGCAGTGGCACGTTCTTGGCTCACTGCAACCCCCGCCTCCTGGGTTCAAGTGATTCTCCTGCCTTAGCCTCCTGAGTAGCTGAGATTACAGGCACCCACTATCATGCCCAGCTAATTTTTTTTTTTTTTTTTTTAAGACAGAGTCTTGCTCTGTCACCCAGGCTGGAGTGCAGTGGCATGATCTCGGCTCACTGCAACCTCCGCGTCCCAGGTTCCAGTGATTCTCCTGCCTCAGCCTTCTGAGTACCTGGGACTACAGGCATGTGCCACTACGCCCAGCTAAGTTTTTGTATTTTTAGTAGAGACCAGGTTTCACTGTTTTAGCCAGAATGATCTCGACCTACTGACCTCATGATCCACCCACCTTGGTCTCCCAAAGCGCTGAGATTACAGGCATGAGCCACCGTGCCTGGCCCAAATTTTTGTATTTTTAGTGGAGATGAGTTTTCACCATGTTGGCTAGGCTGGTCTCAAACTCCTGACCTCAAATGATTCTCCTGTTTCGGCCCCCAAAGTGCTGGGGTTAAGGAGTGAGCCACTGCATCTGGCCATAAATTTTCCTACTGATTTAATGTACACGAAAGCCTGTAAGTGTAAATGCCTGCAGGGGTAGGGAAGTTCTTTATGACTCCTTACATTTTTGCTGATTCCATTTGCTGATCCCCTTGCTCTTCCATTTTTCTTTCTTGGAAGTATAGTTTCAAAGAGACATTTGTTTATCTCACATATCCTGTTGGACAGTGTTACACATCCGTAACAGCAGTCTTTTTTTTACTGGTTTTACCTCCTTTGGACAAATCCTTTTATTTCTCTGAGCTTTTGCAGTTTACACTTTAATTCTAATGTCATGTCAGAACATTGGGTGGAATGATCCATTTTGGGGTAGATCTGCTGCTTTACTTCTTAAAGTGATTATATCATCTTTGATATATACTTTGATATATACTTCTGAAAACTACCATTGCTTTCTCCTGGCATCCGTTTGGAAGACAGAAAATATGTTCAGAGTCATGTCTGTTTGCAATTATATGTCATACATTCTTGCAGAACCAAAGTATTTTTGTCTCATGAATCAGTTTATACTATTTTCTTTGAAGTTGTTGCATAATGGCTGGCATTCTTCACTTTTTCCCCCTCAGATTTTTAAATGTTCTTCAAAATTGTGCTACAGTGATACAGTTAAAGGCAGGACTGTGACCTTAGGTGCTCATTCACTTTTTTTTTTCTTAAACTGTTTATTTTGAGACATTTGTAGATTCACATGCATTTACAAGAAATAATGCACAACAGTCCTATCCTCTTTACCCAACTCCCTTCAATAGTAGCATCTTTGAAAACTATAATTTTACATTATCGTACACAGAACAGTCAAGATATAGAATATTTTGTGAAATAAGCCAGACACAAATAAAACGATCTCACTTAAGTGTGAAGTCTTAAAAAGTCGAACTCATAGAAGTAGAGAGTAGAATGGTTGTTCTCAGAGGCTGGGGACAGGGGACAGAGTAGAAAGGAGAGATATTAATCAGAGGGTACGCAGTTTCATTTACACAGGAGGAATAGGTCTGGTGATCTGTTGCATAGCATAATAGCTGTAGTTAATAATAATGTATAATTTTAAACAGCTAAAAGAATGGATATTAAATGTTTTCACCACAAAGAAATAACTATTGGATACTCAGAAGGCTGAGGCAGGAGAATTTTGCTTGAACCTGGGAGGTGGAGGTTGCGGTGAGCGAAGATTGTGCCATTGCACTCCAGCCTGGGCAACAAGAGTGAGACTCCATCTCAAAAAAGAGAAAAGAAATAAGTATTCAAGGTGACGGATTTGTTGTTTAGCCTGATTTTATCATTCCACTATGTATAACTGTGTGGAAACATCACATTGTTCCCCATAAACATACTATTGTATGTCCATTTAAAAAAGGATGTAGACTGTTTCCATCACCGGAATATCCTTTTGTTGCACTTTTATAGCCATACCTACTTTGTTCCTTCCCCAGCCCACTCCTTCTATAGTTTTGCTATTTTAAGGATGTCACTGAATGGAATCATACTGTTTGCAGTCTTTTGAAATTGGCTTTTCCACTCAGGTTAATTATTTGGATATTTATCCTATATAGATGAGAGTAGTATTCTGTGATATAAATGTCTCCTGGTTTGTTTAACCATTTACCTGCTGGAGGGCATCTGGGTGGCATCTAATTTGGGGCTGTTACAAATAAAGCTGCTGTGAACATTCAATGTACAAGTTACTGTGTGAAAATATGTCTTCATTTCTCCAGGATAAATATCCAGGAATGCAATTGCTGGGTCATTTGGGGGTTATGTTTTTAATTTTTAAAGTAATTGCTAAATGGTTTTCTATAGTGTCAGTACTGTTTAACATTCTAACCAGCACTTTCTCTGCATCCTCACCAGCATTTGGTGTTGTCACTATTTTTATGTTAGCCATTCTGGTAGATGTGTAGTCATCTCATGGTTTTGATTTATAGTTCTCCGATGGCTAAAGATATCCAACATCTTTGCAGGTGCTTATTTGTTATCTCTAATATTTTTCTCTTGTGACATTTCTTGTCTTGTATTGTTTGCTTTTTTACTGGGAGTCCTTTTACATTCTAGATATGAGTCCTTGGTGGGATATGTGGTTTGCACATATTTCTCTCAGTATGTAGCTTTTAACAAGGTCATTGCATAGCAAAAGTTTTCAATTTTAATGAAGCCCAATTTATCAGTTTTTTCTTCTATGGATCCTGATTTTTGTTTCAAGTCTAAGAACTCTGAATAGCTCTAAATCCCAAAAATTTTTCTCTTAGGTTTTATTTTAAAAGTTTTGTGGTCTTATGTTTTACATTTAAGTCTATGATCCATTTGGATTTAAGATTGAGTTAAGTTTAGCTCAAGGTTCTTTTTGTGCGTGTGTGGCCTGGATGTCCAGTTGCTCCAGCAGCATTATTGAAATATGATCTTACCTCCGTTGAATTGCTTTTGCATCTTTGGCAAAAATCAGTTGAGCATATCTATGTGACTCTGTTTCTGGATTTTTCATTGTTTCATTAATCTGTGTGTCCATCCTTCTGCCAACATCTGCAGCTACCAATTCTGAGACACTAAGAAGGAATTGGCTGTTTGCCTAAGACTCAGAAAGGGGCAGCTCTGCGTGGCCACAGGGAACACACTCAAGGCAGCTGGGGTCTAGTGACCAGGCACTTTTCTTAGGATGTGGTCCACAGAGAGGAGGAAAGAAATGTTATTTAGTCTCAGAGACCAAGACAGACACATGGGAGGAGATGGTGAGGACCTGGATAACTGGAGGCATGATGAGTGGAGAGCCTGAGACAGGATCCATGCTTTGGGAGTAGGCCCCTGTGGACGGGGAGACCTTGGGCCGTTGGGGCTGATTGGACTGGGCCCCCTGCTCCTCACAATGAGGCCTAAAGCTACGGCCTCGTATCCAGTGCTGTCCAGTGTCACCCAGGAAGGCATGCCCTCCTTCGGCAGAAACAACTTTAAAAAAAACTGCTATTGCTTTTTAGACAAAAACAATATGGAGACTTTTATTTCATTGAGTTCGCTTTTTAGTATTTCCTTTCTTCTTGCTTTTGTTCTTTTTTTTTTTCCAGATTCTCGAGGTGATTATTGGATTGAGACTTTTGTCTTTATTAATGTTTACATTTAGTGGGGAAGTTTTCTTCCCAGCCCTACTTTAGAAGCTATGTC